ACAACATGTGATTTTTCGTTGGGAGTGCTATCAGGATAGATCCACCAGAAGAGAGAGGTATTTTAAAAGAGTTGGAGTGCCTGCCAAATATTAAAGAATTATGCATAGAAATAAGGAGTAAAGATGGTCTAAAGAAATTATTAAAGTGAACCAAATTACAAAGTTGCATATACAGCCTTTGTAGTATTCTAGTCTCCTGCGAGGTTGATGAGAGGCCTTTATAATTACTAGCATCCCTATAAAAAATGAAGCAGGTGTAGGAACACTACAAAAAGTCGTCGCTGAAAAGTCTTGCCGTAGTGACCATGGTTGAAAACTTTCAGCGGCAACAAAAAAGGTTGCCGCTGAAAGACACTTTCAGCGGTGACATTTGTCACCACTAAAAGTGACTTTCAGTGGCGACTTTTTTGTCACTGCTGAAAGAACTTTTAGCCAAAAGTGATGCCTAAGAAAAATTAGTTTTACTGGCACCACATCATCACCACCAGCACCACGTCATCGCTGCCGGTCGCCCCCTACCAGATGCCACGTCATCGTCAGCCACCTCCACGTCGTTACCATATCACCACTCTTATGCTAGGTCACCCTCATACCGCCACATCACCGTCCAAATATTTTCATCTTAAATGTGCCTTCTTCAAGTTTTGAACTTGTGACCACCTCCTTGTATGTCTAATCTTCTTGCCATTGAGTTGAATTGAATTTGTTTATTATTATTGTAAAATAAAATATATATTATTAGATTATATTTTCAGCGGCGACACCAATAGTCACCACTGAAAGTCTACTTTCAGCAGCGACCCTAAAAAGTCGCCACTGAAAGTGAACCCTTCAATGATAACATCACCACTGAAGGTCATATATTCAGCAGCGACAAAAAAAGTTACCACAGTACACTCACAATAATTTAACTATAATCATCTCTCCCTCATAAACTTAACTATGCTATCCCTTTCAATTATAATGCATTCCTTTCATACACACCATCTCACTTTCAATTATATTTTAATTACATATTACATCTCTCTCACACACACTCTATCTCTCACTACCTTCCCATCTTTCCTTATCTCTCAAACGTACATCTGTCTCTCATGTATGCTTGCACCCCATTCCTCACACACATTCTTAATTCTATCTTATATATATAATTATAACATCTCTATCTCATACACACTCTACCCATTCTACCTCCTCCATTCTCTCTCACTCACTAAATTATCTCTCTCTAACTCTCCCCCTAACGCAATAATACATAAAAAAAACTTTAGTTATTTAGAGTTAATTATATCAATAAAAACAATTACCATATAAATATAATAACCTTTAATAAAAATAATAAAAGAAATTTAAAAAACACTTTCAGCGGTGACTAAAATGTCACTGTTGAAATACACTTCCAGTGGTGACACAAGATAGTCGCCACTGAATGTACTTTTTGCAACGACAAATGTCGCCGCTGAAACATACTTTCAATGGCATCTATCTTGTGTAGCCACTGAACGTATTTTCTGTGGCGACAAAATGTTGTCACTGAAAGTACTTTTAGCGATGACAAAAAATATCGCCGTTGAAAGTAAACTTTCGATGGCGATATTATTTGTTGCCACCGAATGCTGTACCTTTTACTGCCAACCACATGCAGTCGACGCAAAAAGTCCTACATTCGGCAGCGACTTTGATATTGCCACTAAAATGTCCCACTTTCGACGGCAACAATAAAAGTCACCACTGAAAGTATGACTTTCAGTGGCGACTTTTATTATCGTTACTGAAAGTCATCGCTGAAAGTGATTTTTTTTTTGTAGTGGAATTTGCTCTCATAGGGTTTTCTCTTTTGTTTATGATACAGCTTGTCTTACCAAGCTTCGAAAGGTGTCGATTTTTTTCATGTACAGTAACTCATGCAATGTGGCTCAAGGATGCTCTGCTCCTTCAATAACTTGATATTTCTTATTATGAGTCAGTGGAAGAAGTGATAAAAGAAGAAGAAGATGATGAAGACTACTCAATGAAGAATAATGAGAAAGTGGATTCTTCTTCTTTTTCTGTATTCTCTTATCTTGTAATGCTGTATTTGTTCAACTAACCAAGACTTGATTCCAACTCTGCCAAACATAAGTTGACACATATCTATGGACATCAAGATTGGCGGGACAAGTTGGAGTGGGATGACCCCGCAGCAAAGCACAAATTCCAATCAAAGTTCAAACCTTCCTTTTACTTTGTGAGAGATTATTTATAGCATAAATATAGATTTCATCTTTTTTACTTTCATGTCTAATAATTATTGCTTACAATATCAATTACCTGTACTTTTGCAAATTGGTTTCACCATCGAGAGCAATGATCACTGGTTTTCATTAGCTTTCTTTCTCCGGCTTTCTTGTTTGAAGACCTTACATTATATAAGTATGTGGTAGAGCTTTTAGACTCAAAAATAAAACAAACCATGTATTGTTTGTACGATTTATTAATTATTAATTAAACATTCAACTACATGCATTCCATGCATCCTCATTAATAATCATATATGCCTATTCTGCGTGTTGTTGTATCCCCCTTTTTTTTTTTACTTAATTAGTTTGACATTTTTCATGTCAGTTAGCATAGTTCAATAAATTAGTATACTTCACCTTTGTTATTTTAATGTTTGATTTTTGGCACAGTCTCTCCTTGTATTTATTCGCGCTCCACATAATTTTGTGGTAAATTTATCCATTAAGTTAAGGGCCTTTTATTTATTCAAAATAATAATGATTGTTATAATAAATTATTAGTTGTTATAAAAAATCATTATATGAAATAGTAGTGTTAAAAGTTAGAGGGCTAAAAGGAAATTTTATAACATCAAGAAACTATGGTGTAATTTTTTTTTTTGGAAAAAAGCAAAGTTATGCCTTTGTCTTAACTTTTTTTTTGAATGGTGTCCTATAAAAATACTATGAATTAGCATAAAGTTAACGTGGCTAGTTATTCTGTTCCCCAAGCCTCATCTAAATATAAAAATTAACTGTAGATTTGTGGTGTCTTACAAATTATTCCCATTGCTTATTCAATTGCTGTTAAGCTTTCGTTTATATCCAAGCTTCAAGGGATTTAACCATGAACATATATAGTTTATGAGGGACTGAATCTTTTTATTAAAATCGTTTTCGAATTTACTTACTTGTTTATGTTGATTAATATCTGATCGACTTTTAAAAGATAGTTTATAGCGATTCTGAACTTTTTAATATTGATTAATGATTTGTTTTTTTGGCATCAAAGAAAATATTTATATTGAGATTACAGCTTAAGCAAAAGATAAACAGATGAACAAAAGTAAAGAAACCAAAACGGAGGTATGAACAAAGAAAGCAACCCAAATTCTCCTAGGCAAATTAAATTTTATTGGGCTCAATAAGCAACCAAGAACATAGGGTTGGATTTAACCTCGACTGACATGATGGCTCAGAGAAATAATTTACTTTTATTTTTACTTTATAAAAAGAATGTTATCTCTCCCCCTTTGCTACAGAGAGAATTCGCTTAACTTATATGATTTTCTTTAATTTCACTGAAATTATAAATATATATACTTAAATTTGTATAAGGGAAAATTCCAGAAAAAAGAGTACTAAAATTATTATTTCCTCATTCAGGCATCTAAAAGTTAAAAATAATCGAGAAAGAAGTAATACTGGTATATATTTTGCAAATATAATTAAATAATTAAATGCCCTTATATCATAATTGGGAAAAAAAAGTTATTAAAGTTGTCATTGTCAATGCATTTCTTGATATGTTTAACATTTATCATTATTAATTCACAACTTGTTAATAAATAACTTGTCATTATTAATATATTTTTTATTATTTGCTATTCAACACTTGTCATTTTCAATTCAGAATTTGTTAATAAACTTTTTGATATAAGGCATTTCAGTTGTTTAATTATATTTATAAATAGCAGATTAGACACTATTTTCTCTGTCATTTTTAACTCTTAAATATCTAGTTTAAAATATCATATTTTCAGCCCCTTCATTTGCCATTTTCTCCTTGTATAATGCTTCATAATACATAATATAAATAGAGCCTTGCAAAAAGTACAATTCTTTACCCAAAAAAAGGATATTTTAAAGAATCTTGTTGAAAAAGCTTCCAATTCTTGTACAATTCTGATCCACACGTTTTACTTTTAGACACGACTTTACTCGAGTCTCTCACAACATCTCATGATTCTCATCTCATATCTATTTACCTTCAACTTCAAGTCTAATATGGATTCTTATAGGACCATCTTCCTTCATTGGAGGCAAGTGTTTCTGTGAGTGATTTGGAAAACAATCTGAAAGTTGCCGGGCGATAAAAGGGAAGAAGAGGAAAGATGTGGAATACAAATTGAAGAAGCTCTGAGGACTATCTCCCTTCGTCTCCGGGTTTTCCGATTCCCCTACTGGTTCTTCCTATGTTTTGCACTTGAGCTCTTCCCCCTTATTTTCAATCTATGAGACCCTCATGTTTTGATCTGTTAACTAGAACCTCGACTCTGTTTTCTTCTATATGATTAAAATTTGGGTTTGTAGGTTGGAAAAGCCAAGCCTTTGAAGAAGCCCAAGGCTGAGCGGAAAGAATACGCTGAGGTATCTCACCGATCTCCTTTTCGGATTTTAACTTGCTGCTTTTAAACTCTGGTTTCTATATCGCCGTCGCCAAAAGAATAGAAAATTTGTGTTTCAAATCAACTTTTTCGATGGACCTGCATTAGATGAAATGATCATTAGACAGTGCGTAGTACGGCAAGCCTTCACAAGGTAGAAAGATGTCTGGTTTGGGGTTTATTAGTTAAGATTCATGTTATTTGTTAATTGTTGTTTTTACTGTTAGGTTAAACACATACAATACAAATAGCGTTTTTTTCCCCAGAAAAAGAAATTGCTCTGATTAACATGTCCACTACTTAGCATTGTTTTGAAGATATGGCTGAAGCTGAAGCTGGGGGAATCATATGGGGCATGATCAAGTGTTTTTGTGTTGGTGCCAAGAAAGAAGCTGATTATATTCGTAAATTGGGAGAGAATTTGGAGTTACTGAAAGAGAAATGGAAAGATCTTCGAAGCATGAAAGAGGATTTAAAGATAAGAGTTGATGAAGCTGAGAACACAAGACAAATGCAACGAACACATGAGGTCGATAGATGGCTCACAAAAGTTGACAACATTCAACAGGTACTGCCCATACAACCTGTTCCTAATTTCTTTTCAAAATTTTCTTTTTAGTTTAATTTTAAAGTGTTTATTATATGTTTATTTTCTTAATATAAGAGCTAGATCACTGGTTTTTAAATATTAAAAAACTAGATAAGTTAGTTATTTGTAATAAATGAATGTTATTTTTCTTAAAATACTCTTGTTAATTATGTGCATTGGAATGAAAGCTTTTTATTATGTACAATCAACATGAGGACTATTTTGAGAAACAATAAATAAATCTGGGAGACAAAATGGATTGAGATACAATATTAATAAATAAATTGAATTCCTAATTAACTTTTATGTTTAGGACTAAACTATACTAAAAAATTTAGGAAGTTTATAATAGGTATTAGTCATTAGAGAGAGAAAACAAGAAAAGTAATGGAAGGAAATTAAATTGGTTTTGAAAGACTGGAAAATGTAAAATCCGCTTGTATCCGCATCACAACACAAGGCTACAAGAACATTCTTCCTATATAAATGAACACTTTTACGCAAACTTCTACTGAAATTAAAAGTCACATGATACAAAAAACCCTTTCTAATTTGAATATTTTATTTCCATCCACTCATATTAAATGATCTTTAAATCATCAGATTGGGACTAAGACATCCCTAGCTAACTTAAATATTTATTTTTGACCAAAAATTAAATATTTATTCAAAATTTAATTTTTTTTAAAGAACTTTTTTCGATAGTATTTAAAAAATAATTTTAATTTTTTTTAATGCTTAGATCCATATGTTCCCCTAACAAATCTTTCATGCATGTATGTACAAAAACAAATGGGGCAGCTTTTAGTGGGGGAAAAAACAAATTAGCTAGGAATTTAATAAAAGAAGGCAAAAATTGGTCAATAAATTTTTTCCTTTTTTGTTCATTTTTACTCTATATTTTAATAAGTTTTACTATAATATTGTATAAACACTATTTAAATATTTTATATCTATAATTAGAATGATTTAAATTGGAGAGAGAGGGCACACAATTAGATTATGAGGATAAATTAAGAATTTTAAACTTTTAACATATTCTCAGTTAATAAAATTGTATTTTAGAATCTTTGAAATGATACTAAAGCGTAGGTTTTAAAAGGAGACGTAAGATTTATATAATTTAAGTCAAATTGAAGAGAAGTCAAGTATATTTTACATATTTTCTAATGATAGTTCATAATAAGTTTTTTTCCCCCTTTTTTTCCTGGAAATGAACGATGTCGCTTCAATATCCAATTTATGAATGGAAAATCGTATTTTTGCCGCAAGGAAAAAGGACGATGTTATATTTTCGGGACATAAAATGGACAGTTGATCAATGATGTAATAATTAATGACTAAGTAAATATATATTGTTGTAAATAAAGAAGAAGAACAGAGAAGAAAGAATATCAATAAGAGAGAGTATTTCTCTTTCTATTCAATAGGGTACTGAATACATTGTACATGGCCTCTATTTATAGGCACGGCTTTACATCTTTGATAGAATCTACAGATATAAAGATAATTGCAGATAATGGGGATAATGGGAGTTACTAAAGATATTGGGAGATAAGGGAGATAATGATAGATACATGGACATCCATAAAGATATTATATTCATAACACTCCCCCTTGGATGTCCATAACTAAATATGTGCCTCGTTAAAAAACTTCTACTAAGAAAACCCGGTGGGACAAAACCTAGTAAAAGAAAAAGAGTGCAACATTTATTGATATATATTTCATAGTGCTGCCTCGTTAAAAACCTTGTCAGGAAAACCCAATGGGAAAAACCATAGACAAGGAAAAAAGAGTACAACATACATTTACTCCCCCTCTTGACAATGTCAGTTGATATCTCTGAGTCTACGAAGTCCAATGTCATGAACAAGTCTCTCGAACGTGGTGGCTGGAAGTGATTTGGTGAATAGGTCTGTTAAATTTTCGCTGGAACGAATTTGTTGGATATTGACTTCACCATCCTTTTGAAGATCACGAGTGAAGAAGAATTTTGGGGAGATATGCTTTGTTCTGTCTCCTTTGATATACCCTTCTTTTAGTTGGGTAATACATACAGTATTATCTTCGTACAGTATTGTTGGGATCATTTTACCAGAAGACAAGCCACAAGTAGTTCGTATGTGATGTATTAAGGACCTTAACCATACACATTCTCGACTTGTTTCATGCATTGCTAGAATCTCCGCATGGTTAGATGATGTGGCTGATATAGTTTGTTTCATAGATCGCCATGAAATGGCTGTACCGCCACATGTGAATACATAGCCAGTTTGTGATTTACCAACATGTGGGTCAGACTGAAATCCAGCATCTGCATAGCCAACAAGATCGGTCTTGGATGCATTCGAATAAAATAATCCCATATCCATTGTACCCTTAAGATAACGAAGGATATGTTTAACTCCATTCCAATGCCTTCGTGTTGGTGAAGAACTATATCTTGCTAGTAAGTTGACTGCAAATGATATATCAGGTCGTGTATGATTAGCAAGATACATTAGTGCTCCAATTGCACTAAGATATGGTACTTCTGGACCAAGTAGCTCTTCATCACCTTTTTCCCCGATTTCTCGAGGTCTAAAAGGGTCCTTATCCACCTCCAAAGATCTTACAACCATTGGAGTACATAATGGATGTGATTTATCCATATAAAAACGTTCTAGGATCCTTTTTGTATAAGTTTCTTGATATACAAAAATTCTATTTTTCAAATACTCAATTTGTAATCCAAGGCAAAATTTTGTTCTTCCTAGATCCTTTATTTCAAATTCTTTCTTTAGGCAATTCACTGCCTTTTCAAGCTCTTCAGGAGTTTCAATAATATTTATATCATCAACATACACAGCGATTATAACGAACTCATTTCCTGATCTTTTCATAAAAATACATGGGCATATTGCATCATTTTTATATCCTTCCCTCAATAGATACTCACTAAGCTTGTTATACCACATTCGCCCTGATTGCTTTAATCCATATAGGGATTTGTTTAACTTAATTGAGTATCGTTCTCGAGAGTTTGAATTGTGTGCTTCTGGCAATTTCAGCCCTTCAGGGAGTCTCATATAAATGTCATTGTCAAGTGAGCCATACAGATAGGCTGTAACAACATCCATTAGATGTAAATTGAGCCCTTTATTTACTGCGAGGCTAATCAAGTATCGAAAAGTAGTTGTATCCACTACTGGTGAATAAGTTTCTTCAAAATCGATACCAGGTCTTTGTGTAAATCCTTGAGCAACGAGTCGTGCTTTGTATCTTATGATTTCACCCTTTTCATTTCTCTTTCGCACAAAAACCCATTTATATCCAACCGGTTTTACATCTTCAGGTGTAAGGACTACTGGTCCAAAAACTTTTCGCTGTTCTAGCGATTTTAATTCTGCCTCAATTGCATTTTTCATTTTGGCCAATCCTTTCTTTGTTTACATTCACTAATTGACTTTGGCTCATGATCCTCATTATCATTCATCACATCGAGCGCTACATTATAAGAGAAAATATCATCAACGTCGACTTCACTTCGGTCCCATCGTATCCCATTCATAACATAATTAATTGAGATCTCATCATTTTCACATATTTCAGGTACCTGACTTTCACTGAGAATTGGGACGTTAGCGTTGTCTGATGACTCTTCTGGAGTTGCTAACTTTTCTAAATTATTCTCGACTAGGCCATCTATACTTTTAACTCCTTTTTTCTTTCGAGGATTTTTATCTTTGGAGCCGATGGGCCTGCCACGCTTCATGCGTGCTTTAGAATCATTCACAATTGGTTGTCCATCAGGGACATCAATTTTAATAGGAGCATTAACAGCTGGAATATGTGATTTTGTTACTCTCTTCGGGTCAGTAAATGCATCTGGTAATTGATTTGCTAAACTTTGTAAATTGACTATCTTTTGAACTTCCAGTTCACATTCTTTTGTGCGAGGATCAAGATGAGACAGTGATAATTCTTTCCAGCTAATGTCCTTTTCCAACTTCTTATTTTCTCCCCTCATTGTTGGAAAAACTGACTCATCAAAATGACAATCGGCAAATCGAGCTGTGAACAAATCTCCTGTTGAGGGTTCTAGATATTTTATTATAGTGGGAGATTCATATCCAATATATATTCCCATCCTTCTTTGAGGCCCCATCTTGGTACGTTGTGGGGGAGCAATTGGAACATGTACAGCACATCCAAAGGTTCTTAGATGGGAAATATTTGGTTCATGACCAAAAACCACTTGTAAAGGGGAGGACTTGAGATAACTTGTTGGCCTGATGCGAATTAACACTGCTGCATGCAAAATTGCATGTCCCCAAGCAGAAATTGGGAGATTTGATCTCATAAGTAATGGTCTTGCAATTAATTGTAAACGTTTGATTAATGATTCTGCAAGTCCATTTTGTGTGTGCACATGAGCCACAGGATGTTCAACATCAATCCCAAGAGACATACAATAATCATTGAAAGCTTGTGAAGTAAATTCACCAGCATTATCAAGACGTATTTTCTTGATAGGAAAATCAGGGAAATGTGCTCTTAATCTAATTAATTGAGCCAATAATCTTGCGAACGCCAGGTTACGCGAAGATAATAAACAGACATGCGACCATCTTGTTGATGCATCAATTAGAACCATAAAATATCTAAATGGTCCGCATGCTGGATGTATCGGTCCACAAATATCTCCCTGTATGCGTTCTAGAAAAGTGAGAGGCTCACTTTTTAGTTTTCCTGGTGATGGCCGAACAATTAACTTTCCCTTGGAACATGCATTACATGAGAAAACATTGGATTGTGGTATTTGTTGACTTTTCAATGAATGTCCACATGAATTCTCAATTATTTTTCGCATCATAATTGTCCCGGGATGGCCTAACCGGTCATGCCAAACATTAAATTTGTTATCATTTACAAACTTCTGGTTTATAATGATGTGTACTTCAATTGTACTAATAATTGTATAGTACAAGCCAGAAGAAAATGCAGGCAATCTTTCTAGTGTGCATTTTTTACCTGAGGTTGACTTTGTAATAGCAAGATATTCTTGATTTTCCTCAATTGTTGTTTCGATATGGTATCCATTCTTGCGGATATCCTTAAAACTCAACAAATTTCTTTTAGACTTAGTTGAGTAAAATGCACTATCAATGTATAATATTGTTCCTCCAGGTAACAATATATTGGCTCTTCCGAAGCCTTCAATCAGTTTTGCACTTCCAGATATAGTCTGAACGTTGGCTTCTTGCATTACCAAAGAAGAGAAATACTTTTTATTTCTAAGTATTGTATGAGTTGTTGCACTGTCAACAAGACATAAATCTTCATGATTGACGTCAATAGGAGCTATTCTTCGTTACAAGGAACATAGTCAAGAGAGGGAGGAAGAAACAAAATAAATAAAAGGAAAATACTCGTAATTTTATTAATTTGGAAAGATAACAACATTGAAAGTAGAAACTTTATAAAAGAAGATGAAAAAGAAGGAAAAGAAATCATAGAAATTTAACTTCACTAAAACAATTTATTGTTGAACATTCCCATCACCAATCAGGTGATCAATCTTTCCATTAGGATCAGCAAAGAAATCAGCAATATCCAAATGAGTGACATCCATGTTACCATAATCAGAATCGCCCTCTTCATCAACAAAATTGGTTTCTACCCTTGGCATTTTGCCGTTGCCTTTACTTTTATTTTTAAGCGATTCTTGATAAAGGTCAACCAAATGTTTCGGTGTACGACAAGTACGTGACCAATGACCATTCCCACCACAACGATAACACGAGTCTTCAGAGTGGTTATTACTTCCACTAGTTTTTCTCTTGCGATTCTCATCATTCTTTGTCCTCTTTGAATAGGAATTTGAACCACCTCGATTATGACCATGACCATGTCCACGGTCAATGCGACGGCCTCGTGCACGTCCATGTCCTCGTCCACGACCACGTGTTGGTCCATTTACTACTACATTCGCTTCGGGGAATGGAGTGGAGCCGGTTGGACGGGATTCATGATTTTTCATTAGAAGCTCATTATTTTGCTCAGCTACAAGAAGGCAAGAAATAAGTTCAGAATACTTTTTGAAGCCTTTTTCACGGTATTGCTGCTGCAGGAGCATATTGGATGCATGAAATGTGGAGAATGTTTTCTCCAACATGTCTTCATCAGTGACTTTTTCTCCACATAATTTCAGTTGAGAACTGATTCTAAATATCGCAGAATTATACTCACTAACAGATTTAAAATCTTGTAGACGCAAGTGCATCCATTCATAACGAGCTTTTGGGAGAATGACAGTTTTTTGGTGGTCATACCTTTCTTTCAAATTGTTCCAAAGTACGAGTGGGTCTTTAATGGTCAAATATTCCATTTTTAGTCCTTCATGTAAATGATGGCGTAAAAAGATCGTAGCTTTAGCCTTTTCTTGACTAGATGCCTTATTTTCTGCCTTAATTGTGTCTCCCAGACCATTGGCATTTAGGTGAATTTCCGCATCTAGTACCCAAGATAAGTAATTCTTCCCAGTAATGTCAAGAGCCACAAACTCAAGTTTTGTAAGGTTTGACATGATGGCACTTTGTTAGAGCCCTCGTGCTGATAACGTGTTGTAAATAAAGAAGAAGAACAGAGAAGAAAGAATATCAATAAGAGAGAGTATTTCTCTTTCTATTCAATAGGGTACTGAATACATTGTACATGGCCTCTATTTATAGGCACGGCTTTACATCTTTGATAGAATCTACAGATATAAAGATAATTGCAGATAATGGGAGTTACTGAAGATATTGGGAGATAAGGGAGATAATGATAGATACATGGACATCCATAAAGATATTATATTCATAACATATATGTTTAATTTATAGAATAATGAAGTTTACAAATTGATTTATTTTATAATTAATTATTCATAAAAATGTTTGTATTTTTGGTGAAAGTAATAAAAGTTATTATTATAGTGATAAATTTAAATCTTACCACCATTATATTTTACCTTAATTACTAAATCCCTCTTTGATTTTCAAAACATACATTTTGGTTTAACATATTAAGAGCCTCAAACAAAACTAAAAGGATATTTGTTTTAATGGAATACTATATTAGAAATTTAGAATTAATCTTATTTAAAACTTGTTCCCTCCTCAAAATAAATTTCTAATCTATATCTTAATAGTTTATTAAATACTTAATGGTTATCTATATAATATATTTAGTAAATTCTTTTAAAAAAATTTATTTTAACACGTATGAATATATTAAAATATATGCATAGAACAAATTGTTTGGCAGCACAAATCGTTTTATAATGTTATTTGACTGTTGATAAATGATGTTATAATTACTATGTAAACAGATATGTTCAATTAATAGAATAATCAAATTTACAAATTGATTTATTTCATAATCTATAATTTGTAAAATTATATTTATTTTTTTGTGTAAGACTGTCAGTAATATGCTAAGACTGTAATTTGTACATACCTTACACAGGAAATAATAGTTATTGAAGCTCAAGAAGCTAAAGAAATGAAAGAGAAATGTCTAAGTAAATGTTGTCCGAAGCATTGTAAGTCAAACTACAGGCTAGGAAAGAAAGCTGCTGAGATGCTAGAGAATGTAGATCAGCTAGCAACAGAAGGCAAAAGGTTTAGCGAAAATCTTCAAATTGCTCACACAATACCGCTCACGTCAATTGAGATACCTCAAGATGAAGTAGTGGGATTAGATTTGATGTTTGATAAGGTATGGAAGAGCATTGGAGAAGAAAATGTTGGCATCATTGGTTTACATGGGATGGGCGGGGTGGGAAAGACTACCTTGTTAAAGAGAATTAACAATGAACTTGGAAAGAGGAGGCAAGAATTTGATTTTGTGATGTGGGTGGTGGTGTCAAAAGAGCCCAACTTGGATAGTATTATGGATAATATTAGAAAAAAGGTCGGGATCAGGGATGACATTTGGAATTGCTGTAGTAATCAAGTTGAAAAAGCAGCAAAGATTTATATGGTCCTCAAGCCAAAGAAATTTGCCTTATTATTGGATGACATGTGGGATAGAATGGACTTGGAATTGATGGGCGTGCCGTATCCAAGGGAAACTAATTTTCAATCCAAAGTGTTACTCACAACTCGGTCAGAAAATGTGTGTGCAAAAATGCAAGCTGAAAGAACATTCAAGGTAGAAACTTTGACAGATGAAGAAGCCACAAAGTTATTTTACATGAAAGTTGGTGAGGACACTTTGAGATCAGACCCTGGTATTCCAAAGCTTGCAGAGAAGATGGCTAAAGAATGTAAAAGATTACCGCTTGCGCTGATTGTGGTAGGAAGTGCCATGGCTGGAGTGAAAAGTGCGGAGGCTTGGGAACATTCAATACAGAACTTAACAAGTTCTTTACTAACTGCACCTGATTTGGAGAAGAAAGTATTCTCCGTTCTTAAATTTAGCTACGACCGATTGGATGAGGTCCAAAAGCGTTGCTTCTTGTATTGTGCATTGTACCCAGAAGATCGTGAGATTCCAGTTCTCACTCTCATCAACAAATGGATGATCGAGAAATTTTTTTGCAAAGATGTGACAATGAGTGTGCAAGATATGTATGGTCATGGTGAGTCTATTATTGAAAAGTTGAAGCTTTCGTGCTTATTAGAAAGTGTTGAAGATGATCGTTTTGTACTTGATGCAGTTAAAATGCATGATATGATTTGTGACATGGCACTTTGGATAGCACGTGATCAAGATAATGTGGAATTTATGCAAAGCGTTTCAATCATGGATTATTGGGAATCACAAAAAATCCGAGATCCTCCAAATGCCACAACAATAGTTTTATTGGAAGATAATGAGGCCTCACGTCTACAAGATATTAAATATATGAAGAGATTGAAAGTCTTGGACATACAAGTTAGTGGACCATTATTTAGCGACATTGAGGGTCTAGCTTCTCTGGAATATCTTTCTGTGGTCAATGACAATAGTCTAGAACCGGAGTTTTTGAATAACGTGCGGTATTTGACAAATTTGAAGCTTCTTAGCTTGCAAGCACTCGACAAGAGATGTCCTTTTCCATTGGGAGTGCTATCTAGTCTTCAAGAATTAAGAGTTGTTAGACTGTCCAGGATAAATTATTCAGAAGAGAGAGGTATTTTAGAAGAGGTGGAGTGCTTACCAAATATTGAGGAATTATGGATAGCAATAAGGAGTAAAGATGGTCTGAAGAAATTATTGGAGTCAACCAAACTGCAGAGTTGCATATACGGCCTTCATAGTAGTGTCTCCTATGAGATTGATGAGATGACTTTATTGGCATTCTTGTCAAAAATAAAGCAGCTGCGGGTATTTTTTGCCAAAAAGTTGAATATTAGAAGAGAGCAATATTCTTTTCTTTTTGATACAGGTTGTCTAACCAAGCTCCGGCATGTGTTAATTCATTCATGTTCAATAACTCATGCGACATGGCTCAAGTATGCTCCACTCCTTCGACAACTTAACATTTCTAATTGTGAGTCAATGGAAGAAGTGATAAAAGCAGAAGATGAGGACTGCTCAATTAAAAAAAATGAGAATGTGGATTCTTCTTCTTCTATATTCTCTTCTCTTGTCACACTGCATTTGTATAGCTTATCAAGACTTGAGAGCATTCACAAGGCACCCTTGCCTTTTCCTTATCTCATATCCATTGACATATCCAAGTGTCCAAAGCTGAACAAGCTACCACTCGATTCCAACTCTGCCAAACATAAGTTGACACATATCCAAGGACGTCAAGATTGGTGGGACAAGTTGGAATGGGATGACCCCGCAGCAAAGCACAAATTCCAATCAAAGTTCATAGATCGCTCTTCATTTATGAGAGATTGAGAGGTAAATACATTATTTATAGCATAAATATAGATTTCATCTTTTTTACTTTCATGTGTAATAATTATTGCTTACAAGATCAATTATACATGTACATGTTGCAGATTGGTTTCACCATCGAGAGCAGTGATCACTGGTTTTCATTAGCTTTCTTTCTCCGGCTTTCTTGTTTCAAGACCTCACATTATATATTGTTTGTATGTGACTGAGCTTTTAGACTCAAAAATAAAACAACTCATGTATTGTTTGTATGATTTATTAGTATTCCATTAATAATAATCATATGTGCCTATTCTGTGTGTTTTTATATCCTTTATTCTTTTTTTTTTCCCAGTTAATGAGCTTGACCTTTTTCATGTCCATTAGCACAGTTTGATAGACTATTTCACCATTTGCTTTTAACATTTAAAGGAAAATACTGTAGAGAGAAACTTTTTTTAATTATTATTTCAAGGTTTGATTTTTGCATAGTCTCTCTCTCTCCCCCATTGTATTTATTCCCACTCCAGAGAAATATTTGGGTACTCCCAGAATACCAGCTCATCATCTAAACTCTGCCCAACAAAAATGAGGTAACTCAATAATTTTTAATCTATGTGTCAGCTAATTATTTCTATTAATTTGTTGCTTTAAAAAATTAAAAATGCCTAGGTACGGTGACTTCCGTTATTGCCCTCCCTTCACATCTCTCTTCATTTTTCTAATCTTAGATTCTCCCTTCCTCTATCTTTGATCTCCTCATCAGCAACTCTCCACCAACGACGGCGGCCGCAACTCTCCACCAGCAAGGGCGGCGAACACTCTCTACTAACGACCGTGGCGAAAATTCTCGATATCCGCCGACAACTGCGGTGATTCTCATCTCTCCTAGTGACCCTCACATGGCGACTCATCAGAACCCATTGATACGTTGCAGGTCACTAGGTCAGTTCGGTTGTCTTTTATTGGGCTCAAGAAGGAACTTGGATTTGCTTTTCAACATTTCTCGTAAATGAGTACATAACTTGGGCTTTGTTGAGCAGTGCAGTTGGAAGGCAACTCAAAAAGCCCAATCCCAAGCCCACTAAGATAATCTGAGATTTGGCAGCCATAACATAAGCAAGCAGGCAAGGTTATCTCTCCCTCTCCATTACAAAAAGAATTCGCTTAACTTGTATGATTTTCTTTAATTTCATGGAAATCATAAATATATATTTAAATAAAAAATACCTAATATATATAGAGCTTTGCAAAAAGTACACTTCTTTATTTTTTAAAAGAGCACAAACGTCATTTAAAAAAAAAGAGAGAGATGCTTTTCAGAATGTTGTCGGACAAGCTTCCAATTCTTGTAGAACTGTGGGGCACACGTTTTACAGGAATAGAGATAAAAAAGGAAGAAGAGTAAAGTGTGGAATACAAATGGAAGAAACTCTTGAGAACAATCCAGAGATGAAAGTATCTCACCAACTCATTAATGGTTTGGCTGCAACATATTATGAATAGCTTTTCGACATGCAATATAACGCCATTAAAGAATCTGCTTTCGTCGTGTGGGATCCCACAAAGAAAACCAGTCCTCATTTCTCTCAGATAATTTCCCTTTCTTTTGAGTTATTGTCAGAGGAAAGTACATTATTATTACATTCGATTCTAATTATAAAATTTTATTTGTAATCTACTACTAAAGTTTTATAAATAAGATCTTATAATTAAGACTGGAAGTAGTATAATACAAACAAGCTACGTATATTGTATGCTTTATTAAACATGTACGCAACATCTAGTTTTCTTCCAAATTCTCTCGTCCGTGCTTTTTCTACTCTATCCACACTTCTCTTTTAATTTCTCCCCTAATGCGTCTCTACCTTCGTTTTCTTTCTTTCTTCTTGTATGTCTTTGTCATAACTTTCTCTTTCTTTTTACAAAGGTATTTTGCAAATAAATCATGACTATTTATTAATTGTGATAACGGATCTTACATTAGGAATTATTATGATGGGTCTTATGAATATGATTAAAAAAAAGTAGTTGATTTGATTATATTCCATGGACAAATTCAACATGAGCGCACTCATCATTTCTTTTTAAATAATAAGGGTCTTATAATGCAGCATTGGAAAAAAAAAAAGACACATAAGGAAAAGGAGGAAGCATTAATAGCTCTAACAACTACAGAAGAAAAGTGGTAAAGCAAATTTGAGATGAATCTATCCCGAATAAGTTTAGAAAATACCACTTTAGATGAGAAGCGGATGAAGAGCTTCTCCACACAAAGTATTTCCAATTTAGGCTTGAAATTGTGATTGAAAAGATCTGTCTCTGTTTTTTTTAATTATTATTAAAAGACAATTTTATTATAAAGATAAAATGAAGAGCATTTAAAGGGCCTGAGCCTACTAAAGTGTGAAAGGTCTAACTCAAAACATCTCAACAATGCACTAGGCCCAGTTACAACGAAACATAAAGGAAAACGAAAAAAATCCAGCAGCAGCAAGAGTTGAGCTTGGAAGAACGCAGAGGGAGTGCCATCCATGACTTCGTGACAACCTAAAGCTCCCGATTTGGTTTGTGCCACCCCTTGAATCTCCAGGTGTGAAAGCTCCAGCACTCTAGGAAAGTCATGCTACGAACACACCCGCAACGCCTTTTCCAATAAATGGAAAAAGAAACCTGGCTGAGAAATTCGTCATCTCCAAATGAATTGAATAACCGGCCTACTCTGATGACAAATCATGGCATGACATTCTGTATTTCTGTTCCTCTTTATCTTGGAAAGTAATATAGGCCATCCCTCATTTGGAAGCTTAGATTAGGACTGAGCAAACGGTTAATCGGTTTCGGTTAGTGTTAATAACCGAATAACCGAAATTATCATAATGAAGAAACCGAACCGAAACCGAATATAGTGAACTAACCGAACCGAAATAACCGAAATATGTTCGGTTCGGTTAGTGGGTTTATTCGGTTACTGGGCCTTTTATTGGGCCTTTTTTTTCAGGTACCATTGCAGCCCAGTACGCACAAAAAGTCTAAATAGTGGGAAAAAAATAATTTTTTGGGCTCTTTTTGTACAAAGAATCTAGATATTTGAAAAGTGTAATAAAAGTTTTAAATTCCAAAATCAAATATATTTTATTACACACTACATATATTGTGAGACAGGATAATTATTAAAAAGTCAATGACAAGTTATAAATATGCAATTACAATTCTTCTAAAATTTAATATCCTTAAAAACACCACAACACCTAAAAAATTGTAAATATGTTAGAAGAACCATCATGTACCATTGCGGATATCAGCTGAACATAAAACAAATACAAAATATCAGCATGGAAAAAGTTCTCACATCCCAAATAACAACGAACTCTCTCCTGAAACGGTGAAACCCCATCACATCTACGGCTTGTACAAATTAGGAGTAGATATAAAATTGTAATAGAGAGAATACAAACTAAAATTGCCCCAGCATAGCTAGCATCTAGCTAGCCGAAGTTCATCATCAACGTCTAACTAGCCATTATCACATTATGCAATTGATTAACCCATCATCAACATACAAGTAATCCAAAATCAAACAACTGAAACAAGTAACCCAAAATGAAATTCCATAAGGCAGCCTGAAATTCCAGTCTTGTCCCAAAGTTCCTTGCATACAACTTGCCATCAAGTCAGCAATAACTACAATTAAACAAGAATATTAGAGAGTGCACAACTTTAGAGTTAAAGAAAAAACAAACAAATTAAGCACAATATTTTTTTTACTCTTAAGTTTTTTCCCTGTTGCATCTATAGTATATCAACAGTTGCTTCCAATGCAATTTTTTGCAAATCTACACAAAGAAAAACAAAATCAGACTTCATATGTCATAATAAATTAAACATTATATTATTCTTATAATGTTATAAGTAAAAATAAAATATTACCCAATTCTATCTTCTGGATATCATCATTCCCTTCTTCTACAACATGTTGAATTGAGCGTCTAAGCCAATCTTGAGTACAAATTAGAGATTGCACAGTTTTAGGAGTTAAAGAGCTCCTAAATGGATCTGGAACTCGTCCTCCAGTACTGAATGTAGACTCTGATGCAACCGTAGAAATTGGGATAGCTAAAACATCTCTTGCCACTAGAGAAAGAATAGGAAATCTAGGACCATTTAGCTTCCACCAGCTCAAAATATCAAACTCATCTTTATTAACCTCAATTTCTTCATTCGAATATCTATCAACCTCAGTTCTGCTAGTTCTTCCACCAAGACGCTCATTCATAAACTCTTGTTCCTCAATATCAAGCAATTTTCTAACTTTCATAGCAAGATCATCATCTTCATCACAATGATCTTGTGTGCTATGCAATGGCTCTTTTTCAGGTTGGGTTGAGGGGGAAAAAGTGTGTTTGTATTCATTATACAAAGAAATTAAAAGCTCTTTAACATGCATCCCCAAACTTGTACCAATTGCACTTGTGTGCATTTTACACAAAGCAAATTGCACCCAATCTAATTTATATCGTGGATTAAGAACAGCAGCAATATAAAGAAGTTGATTCATTTTCAAAGGATCTCCCCAATATTTATCAAATTTCTCTTTCATTCTATTTGCCATTGAAGCTAACTCCCAAACATCACATTTTGTCCACTCATCCAAAAAACGATATAGCTTATAAATTTCACAGAAAAAAGTATTAGATGTTACAAATAAAGAGCCAGATATCCGCACAGTAAGCTCATAAAAATGACCCAACATCATAATCATCCTCCTAACATTCTTCCAATCTTCAGACTCAGGCACCCCCTCTTCATCTTGAAGATCAAATCAAAATATGGATCTTTATCCTCATACCTTTTAAAGGCTGCCTCAAATTTCTGAGCAGTGTCTAACATCAAATAGGTAGAGTTCCACCGAGTAGGGACATCTAAGCATAAGATTTGCTTATTTTGAATCTTTTCATCCACACAACTCTCTTTAAACTTTCTCATCCTAAGGGGTGATTGTCTGATAAAGCGAACAGCTTCTCTAACTTTTTTCACAGAACTCCCTATTTCTTTCAACCCATCAGTAACAATCAAGTTGATTATGTGTGCAACACATCTCATATGCAAGAATTGACATTTCATAATTGAGTGACCCCAATTCACAATTTTTTGTTCTAAATATTGAATCATGACATCATTAGAACTAGCATTATCCACTGTAATTGTGAGCACCTTTTAATTCCCCATTCAAGTAGACATTTTTCCATTTCCATTCCAATATCCTTCCCCTTATGACTAGAAATAGGAATGAAATTTAAAATCCTCTTTCTCAATGTCCATGCATCATCTATAAAATGAGCAGTAACACACATATAATTGATTCTTTGAATGGAAGTCCAAGTGTCGGTGGTGAGGCAAACCCTTTGCCTCTTATGCAGTAAATAGTCTTTAAATTTAACTTTTTCATCAATGTAAATCCCAAAACAATCACGAGCAATAGTCCATCTTGATGGAATTTTAAACCTAGGTTGAGCAATTGACATAAATTGCCTAAACCCATCCCCATCAACAAACTTGAAAGGTAATTCATCAGTAATTATCATGCATGACAAGGCTTTCCTAATAGCATCTTGATCAAATTTCCAATTAGTAAGACCCATTTTGTCATCTACACTAAAGTTCAAGTGAGATTGCGCAAGCTCTTCAGGAGGGGGCTTCAACTTACAAGTAGTCAAATGGTTGTTAAGTGCAGTGGTTCCATTAGCTTTTGAATCACATGCAAGATCTTTTTCACAATAGTTGCACTTACCTCTAGTTTCACCTCTTTCATTCACAAATTTGGTGAAATGCTCCCAAACCTTTGATCTTGGTTTCATGCTTTTCCTTTTTGTAGTCCCACTTGCTACTGGCATTGAAGGATTCGTTGTTTGAGTAGTATCATCATCCCCAACTCGAGCATTACCCATAGTTTCACCATGAGAAGACATCTAATTTAAATATATATATATTAGTTAAACCATCATCAAAGTGGAACATGTTAAAGAATTTTCTGCACTGCATCATCAAACTATTATGAAATAATAAATTGAAGGATTGAAGAACGCGTGCTTAATTTTTTCCACTACTTGAAATAATAAACCCTTTGTAGTTGTATATAAGAACACAAATGAAGACAATTTATAATGAATAGATAACTCCTATCTATAATCAATCTCTCTTCTTCTTAATTTACAACAGATTATATAATCAAGCATCACGTTTCAACTTTCAATCAATATATTATATATATGCTGCGGAAGAAAATAAAGGGATAGGGGATCATGATATCGAAAAACATAAGCAAACCACCCAAATACAGAGGAATCAGGAATGTCGGATGTTGGATATAATCAAGCATCACCCATGGTTTCAATCAATATACAATTGATGTCAAATGCAGAGTATTAAATTCAAATACAAGCAGAAGAAATTCTCTCAAGCTACCAAGTGACCAAGTCTGAAGGGGAAAAAATGTCGGATGCAGAGTATTAATGTCAGATATAATCTACTATTAAAAAGGGGAAAAATGGACCTTTTCAATGCTCTTGCTGATCTGCGATGACCGAACGAAGTCGAAGAAGGGAGTTTGAAGTCTGAAGTTCAGACTCTGAACCTTGCGACGGCGACAGACTTAGGCGATCTGCAAGAACTTCGACTGAACTGTGCAATCCGCTTGCAGACTTAGGGCTTGGAGAGGGGATGGGAGTCGAGAGTCTGGGAGAGAGGGAGCAAGCTACGAGCGACGAGCCTGTGAGCGTCGAGTGAGCTGTGGGCGTGATTAGGGCGATCTACGAGAACTTCGAAAACGCTGTGCAATCCGCTTGTAGACTTAGGGCTTGGAGAGGGGATGGGAGTCAAGAGTCTGGGAGAGAGGGAGCAAGCTGCGAGCGGCGAGCCTGTGACTGTGAGCGTCGAGTGAGGCAGTGAGCTGTGGGCGTGATTGAACTGAACTACTGAAGGAGTGTGAGGCCGACTGAGTGTGAAGGTGAAGGCGAGAAGGGCCGGGTGGCGGTGTGGACTGTGGGTCACGGGACTATTATCTATTGGATTGGATCACTGGAAGTCTGGAATGACTGGATAGATGGTAGCTGGGCCGCGGGAATTGGGGAGAATGGGAGAGAAATATTTTTTTTATAAAAAAAAATGTTCAAATTCGGTTATTTCGGTACTAACCGAATTATTTTTCAGGACACCAAATCGAACACCGATAACCGAAGTATCCGAATAAAATAACCGAAAAAAAAATAACCGAAATAACCAAACCGAAATAACCGAATTGAGTTCGGTTCGGTTCGGTTCGGTTCGGTTTTCGGTTCCGGTTCGGTTTTGCTCACCCCTAGCTTAGATGGATGGCAAAAGGCTAAAGGTTTTGAAGACTTAACCTTTTACTTTGAAGACGTGGAGAAAGCTAACTGAGTCAAAGATAGTGAATTGTTTACCTCTTTATTAATGGCTCCCATTGGGCTCCACAGCTTGCCTTCATGCAACGCATTGTTGTGTTTATGCCATTGATGAGGATGATGATGCTCTTAACCACTGTATAGAAACCATCATTATTAATTGTTGCAAAGTGATTTTTAACTAATGAATAAATATCATAAAATCAAAATTTGGAAGTCTTATATTGAGACAGCCAAACCATAGTGTTTTGACATCAGGGCATTGAATGAACACATGCTCCATAGTGTCTTCCATATAGCATCCAAAAAGACAGAGTGGAAACTTGCAGATGATGTTTTTGCAAAATATCAGTAAGTGGCAAAGCTTTATGCACTAGCCTCCAAATGAGTGGGAGCTGTTTGTATGGGAGAGCAATAGACCAAATAAATTTTCAAAATGGGTCCACATTAGCTCTAACTGGATTGTAAGATTGGAGGAGCAAGGTATGGCTGTCTTTAACTTGATAACGGCCAAATGAATTCCTGGTCATGTGAGACATTCCTCAACATTATTAGAGACTAAAGGCGGAATTTCTGAGATGGCTTTTAAAATGTGAGTTGAGTTTAAAATATGAAGTAAAGGCAGCTTCCATTTGACTGGATTCTGAGGAAAACGAGTATGCAGTAAAAGATCTGCTACATGAGTTAGGTGCATCATGTGAGCATAATCTTGATGCATAGACCACCGAAGAGGGTGGTTTAAATTAATAGAAGCTCCACTGCCTACTTGCCACCTCAGATTCTCTAAGAAAGTGTTGGCATTATGTAGAATTCCTTTCCACATCCAAGAGATACTATAGGGCTTTTCGGCCAGAGATTCAGAGTTGAGATCAAAGTATTTAACCTTAAGAGTCTTGGACAAAAGAGAATTACTTTCTACAGATAGAACATGTCAGACCTGTTTGGCTAACATGGCATCATTTATGTAGTCGGTAGGCCTCGATCCCAAACCACCTTGATCGGTTGGAAGAAATAAGATATTTCTATTTGAGCTGAATTTTCTTCCTGTCATTGGTGGATCCCTAGAAAATAATACATCTTGAGTCAATTTTGTCACATATATACTTCGGCAACTTTGTACAAGATTGAACAGGAAAATTAGCAGTTGAGAGGATAGATTTGAGTTGACTAAAGTAAGCCTCGCTGCTTGAGATGCAATTCTTTCTTTCCAACCACAAGTCCTTTTCTCTATGGATTGTATCACTTGATTGTAGATGATGTTCTTTTCTCTTTCCGAATCAATCCAAATACCAAGATATTTTCATAACCTTATAGTAAAGTGAACTCCCAAGCAATTTGAAAGTGATATCTTGGTATTGCGTGCGACATTTGGGCTGAAAATAATTGAAGACTTGGACTTGTTGATTTCTTGCCCAGAAAGATTACAATCAGATTCTAGAACATGCTTGACCACAGCCATATTTTGTTTAGAGAACCCAAAAGAATAAGCTATCATCAGCATAAAAGAGATGGGAAGTAGCTTGAGCTTCAGAATAAATTTTAATTCCTTTCCTTTGATTGGTGGATTTCAAATAATTGATCATGCATGAGAAGACATTAGTTGCAAGAATAAAAGATAAGGTGAGAGGGGATCACCTTGCCTTGAACCCTTGAGATGCATTGATGAATGAGATTAATCCATTTCCTAGAGAAGTTCATTCTAGTCATCACAGCTGTAATAAAATCCCAGGACAATTTATTAAAAGCTTTTGACAAATCTATCTTCAAAGCTCCGATTCTTCCTCTTCCTTGTCGGCCATAATGTATCGGATGGGTAATGAATTGTGTTGTTAAAAGAGAAAGCGAACCACTTATGTCTCAAACAAATTCAAAAAGAGCATCCTCACTTTTGATTATAATAACTAGCATATGCTGCCCATGCAAAGGAGATTAAACTTCCCAATATTAATACAAGGGAAAATTAATTCGTGAGTCCTTACAGTTTACTTCAATTTTGAATCAGATCCCTATAGTTTATTTCTTTTAAATCAAACCCTTACACTTTGATCTGTTAAGCCCATCCATCCTTAAGGGTTAACATTGTTATAACACCGTTAAGTTTTGATGATGTGGCTAATAGTATGCTTCCATGGCTAGCTGACATGTTAAAAATATAATATTAAAATTATTTTACTTTTAAAACTTTCAGGTAAACACGAAAAAAAAATCAAGGGTTACTGTTTCTAGGTCTTCAGTTTCCGACTCCCGCCGCGGAATTCCTTGCCTTCAATTGCAATCATGATACAAGGAACGTACTTTTAAAATTCACGGTGCTACATGTCGTCAAGTATTACTCAACCATTCTTATATCTTAATCTACCACTTGTTGCTAGATTTTTGTTTCTCTTCTTTAATTTTCTTGCCGTGAGAGTTTTATTTTTTTGGTGGATCTTAGTTGAGTTTTCAAAACTTCTGATATAAACCCAGTGGATCCTGTACTATTTAGCATATCCTATACTATCGAGCTTAAGTCCTTAACTGGTTAGCAATTGAAGATTAAGAAAGTAAATCATGGTAAGAAATTGAAATTGTCAAAACTTATATTGAAGAGGATGATGTCCCAACTTAGCCGCACGTTGAATACAATTTAATGGTGAAAACAGTAATCATATGTAAATCAACAATTGAAGAGGAAAATTAAAGAGTCATGTTTCATATATAAATTAAAATGTCCGATTTTATTATTTGCTCGCATTGTTGGTTTCTTCGTTGATAATATCAACATTTGGGATCTTACTTCTCTCAAGAAAACAGTAAGCTGTGCTTGTTGAAGATTTTTTTAATATCAATTGTCTAATTAAATTTCCAAATATTGAATGATGGAAATATTCTATTCTATGACATGTACCTTGTGCAAATTTTTTATGGGATACTTTATTTATGTTCCCTGTTGCTTTGGAGTATTCCTTTTTATGCGCCTACTTATATTTTACAATCAATATAGGTCCTATTGCTGGATACAGAATCATGTTAGTCAAGCACTTCAATCGACTAAGAGGATATTATTATGAAATGGAAAGGGCTTTTCAAGAAGAGATGAGAAACATGCTCAATATCATTTGATTGAATAGTTGATCTAGCTTCTTATTGTTTGAATAAACCCTCCACTTCAATTGGTATTTTTTCATGAAAAGCAAATATGAAATAATAAATCCAGTCTTTCGTCTCCAATCAAAAGAAAAATTAGAACTAAAATTGAAGTCATTGTTTGCATACTAAATATCCAGCAAGACGGATATAAAAGTCTACATACTAAATTAGCATTCATTGCCACAATCAAAAACAAATTGAAGACATTGTCTGCATACTAAAAATAACCTAAAATAGTATAACTAAAAGTCTTAAACTCCAAAAGAGTTGGGTACATCAATGGTTTGGAGGTGGGCTTTTTATTGAAGGTTGCTTGCATGTTCTTCGGTTGTGACCATAATTACCACAAGCTTTACACTTGATGCTTGTATTTTGTCTCCTGATTTTGTGTGGAGGTTGTGGCTCATCTTTCTCTCTCTTTCGTCGCTTCTTAGGTCTACCAGGACGTTTGTGAAATGTTGGAGGATCTATGGGCTCTGATTCAATTTGTTCCCACAACTCTTCTCCATTTATGGGCTGTATAATGGGAGCGTAACATTCTTCATATTTGTTCAGAGTAAGATATTCATTGACATATGTATGAGGGTCCTCACGCTTCTCGTAAATACAAATAACAGCATGCCTGCAAGATAAGAAACAAGTTATATATTGAATTTTTCAGATTATAACCACATAAGACAATTTATCTAATTACCTACAAGGGATTCCAGATAACTGCCACCATCGACATTCACAAGTCTTCTCTTTGAGATCAACAATAAATCTTTGAGTGTTATATTGAACTTCAAACTTGTCGTCTCCTGCCCATCTTGGCATCCACTTTCTAGACTCTTCAACCTCCTTGTCAAGTCTCTTACGGGGACGAGGGCATACAATTCCCTTCCCCTGATATTTTGCAGCTTTGATGCGATTTTCTGCAAATCTATTCATCCAATAAATCCGAATCCAATCAAGAAGACCTACTATGGGAAGTTCTCTCGCTTCCAACAACCGACTATTAAAAGATTCTGATATATTATTCATTATCATATCACATGTTGAATACTCTGAAAAGTGAGACTTGGTCCAACAAGATGGAGGAAATATCATCAAGTGATCATGCGCTTCCTTTGACACATTATGCAATTGTTTCATTAGTTCTTTCCAAGCTGGGGGATAAGTGGCCTTCGCTGCACGTATCACTAAATCTCTAATCACCGTTCCACCACCATACCTTGACTTGATGTTGGCATACAAGTGTCTTACACAATATCTATGTTCAACACCTTCAAGTAATTCTCCAAAAGCTTGAACCAATCCCTACAATTAAAACATAATTGTTAGTTTTGAAATTTATGTTAAATAAGTGTAAAAATTAACTAAACATATTACCTTCTGTTGGTCTGAGATAAAAACCCATTTCTTTTCAGCCATACTACCAATATCATCAAACAATTTTTTTAAGAACCATGTCCAAGAATCTTTGTTCTCAGTCTCAACTACCGCCACAGCTAGAGGAAAATATTGATCATTAGGATCGCGAGCTACAGCCACCAACAAAATACCTCCGTATGTGCCCTTAAGGAAGCAACCGTCTAATCCAATAATTGGCCTACATGCTTTCATAAAACCTCTTTTCACTGGTTCTAAGCACACATACAATCTCTTAAACACACGTGGGCGATCTACATAATAAGTAGTGTCAGTGACAAGAGCAAATGTAGATTGCGGATTTCTCTTCTTGACTTCATTACAAAAGTTTACCAACTTGTTGTACTCTTCTTTGTGGTCTCCCTCTATTGTTTTCTTTGCAATCTTCCTAGCCCAAAATGCCTTGTTTATTGAAGGTTGCACCATATAATTTTGTTTTACTATTGAAACCACATCTCCTAGCTTCAAATTCTTATTCATCCTCATATGATCTGCTATCTTCTGAAACCCACTTTGATGTGGCTAACCTTGAATTAAATGTTACCCCACAAGTATGCTTTGGTCCAAGTGTTTTCACTCGAAAAGTCATTGAGCCACCAACTTTGCTTACAAGTATCAACCAACCACACTTCTTCTTGCACCTAACTCGGCATCTTTCCTTATCATTTTTAAGAAACTTAACATCATACCCATGTAGCAAACAGTACTCCTTGAGGGCTTCTCGAAACTGTTGGACTGAATTAAACTCCATTCCCAACTTAAATTCAAACTCCTTGCACATTTGAGCAGAATTGTATTTCTCATACCTTGTTATTGCCTTATTGTCCTTGTCATCACATGCATACTCCTCATACAACTCATCATCTTCTAGATCAGAAAGCATAGCCAACGTGTTCTCGTTCGGTAACTCAGAAGCAGTAACAGCCTCTGAATGCACAGATTCGAATTCGGCCAAATGATTAGAACCCCTACTTCCTTGACCCACATTCTCAACATCAACATCAAGAAATTGATGAAAACAATCATCATCCAACTCTGCATCGTCACTATCCTCAGCTTGCGGGCACGTCAAATTATCATCCTCAACCTCTATTTCGTTCCCACTCCCTAAATTTATATTCCCATTTTTTATGCCTACGTCATCTCCCCTCCTTCGTTCCATATATACTAAACTGATAGAACAAAAGAAAAAAATTAATGAGAGAAACATAGAATGTAGAAAGCGTTTAACAAATTATAACTTTAAAAAGCCCAAATCATTTTTATTGATTTTGATTGGAATTAATATTCAATGTATAGTTTCGGTTTCAAAAAAGATTCAAACTTTATTATGTCAAATCAACATCTTTGTTCTCTTCTCATTGTGGATAGAGAAAATCTGCACATGCTTATAAGGGTACTTTTTCTTTTTTTTAATTTATAGAAGATCAAAGATGGGACCTTTACAAATGGATATGAAATATGGGTTACCTGCTCGAAATTCAAAAACTGTGTTTGAGAGATGGAGAGCAAGAAATAAAATAAAACACGTTGAGGCAAAGCACCAACACGCAGCCTTACTCAGATAATACAAATCGAGACACAGTACCAAAATGCAGTTTTACCTGGATAATCTTGGTTGCCGCCGTCCTCCGCACCCAATGAAAACCAAAACTAAACGTTCTGCAACTGGCCGCAAAATTAGCGAGAGGGCGGGAATGCGATGGTTTCCTGAATCGACTGATCACGATGGTCTTAGTTAAAGGCTTCTTAATCACCTTATTATCCACCTGTCGTCAAAATTAATCCATGTGGTGCCAACTCATGTTTCTTTATCCACGTGTCAGTTTAGTCAGCCTCTACATCATCAAAACTTAACGGTGTTAACCTTTGAGGATGGATGGGTTTAACGGATCAAAGTATAAGGGCCCTATTCAAAAGAAATAAACTATAAGGACCTGATTCAAAATTGAAGTGAACTATAAGGACCTACGAATTAATTTTCCCTTAATACAATAATCATAATTCATTTAGAAAATTAATTGACACATTAAGGCATATATTAGAACATAATATATTCGTAAATGGAACATGGTGAAAGAGAAATTTTGTAATGATAAATTCAAATCTTGCAAAATAATCACAGAGATATATATTTTCAAAATAAATAATTGGTGATCAATAACTTAAAAATGAAAAAAGAAGAAAAAAGTATCATGTTATGCTTCCCGAGTAAAAATCACCGACAGGCAATACCCACCACGTTGAAGAAATTACACATACTGAAATAAGCTTTCACTAATTACTAATGCAGGTGAAGTTTTATTTGTCTTGCAGAACAAAGAAAATCTTCCTTCATTTTGAGCTTGGGTTAATCTTTATGGGGCCATGGGAAATCCCACACAACCTCACTCGTCATAATTCTTTGAGTTAATGAAATACGAACCAGTGCCTCCCAATATTTAAATGTTAAATATAATAAACACAGAATCTTTCAGAAAAATTTATTATTGACGTCAATATAAAATATTAGGAGAATCTCAATTAATTTCAGCTAAAATATCTAAATATAAATTAAGGTCTACATTTTTAACAAATTTTTAATAAGATCATGAGGTCTAATTAAAGATTTCTGAGTATTGTTAAATGATTAGAATACCCAGTTTTAATTAAGAAGAAAAATTAATTATTTTACCCCTGTTAAGTAGTCCTTCATCTTTTATGATTATTTTTTAAGACAAAAGAACATATAAGTAATTTTATAGTGCTTAAAATTTGTATATATTACCGAAAACTTCAAAAATATTTTAATAAAACGTTTTAAATTACAAATATAAGTAATATTTAAATAAATTTTTTTATTTTTAGTTCTAATAATTTACTTTAGTTGTATTTATTTAAGCAATACCGGATCAATGTCAAGACGTAAATTATAACACTTAATATTAAACATTTCTTGTCAATAAAATATTTTCAAATCTTAATATAAATAGTTACAGCCTGAAAAAAATATTTTTTTAGGATTTCTTATATTGTAATGTAATATGATTTAGTTATATATACAAAATTTTAAACACTGAAAAATATTTATATATTTTTAATCTAAATATTAATCATAAGATATAAGGAATCACTTGGCAGAGGTAAAATAATCAATTTTTATTTTTAATTAAAGAGAGGCATTCTAATAATTTAACGACATTCAAAAATTTCTAATTAGGTCTCATGTCCTCATTAAGAATTAAGAATTTGTTAAAAATATAAACTTGAATATAAATTTAAGTATTTTAACTGGATTTTATTGAGATTTTTTCTGAAATATTTTGCATTTCACTTTGAAACAATTTGTTTAGCAATGACAATAATATTATCAGATACAACTAGTTTATTGCATTGGATTTACGTTTTAGCTTCACACACATGAGGCGGGAAAACAATAGATCTAGAATTGTGATAAGTTAATTAACCATTTGTACTCTACAAAAGTAATTATTTGAAAACTAGAATGATTAGAATTATAAACTAATTAAGCAATCGCGATTTCAACACAATATATTTAATATCTTTGTTTCAATCTTACTTAGGCATAATTTATTCCATTCACTATATGTGGGACTTATTTTGGAATTAAATTTTACTAAATGATTGCAATTTAATGCAAAAGTTCGGCATTTATCTTCCTTATTGTCAATTACCAAGAATATGACATCTTGATCTCTCCAAACCAAAATCCTGGATTTAAATTTGATAATACTGATAGTATATTCGCCGAAGGCTAAAGTTACTAAGACAAGAAATCCTTGTGTGCACACAATATCCTATTACTGAAAATTTTTCTGTCAAATGTTTCACAACAAAAGTAACTTGACATTGTGAAAGACAGCCGTAGTAAATCGTGATTTTGAAACATTGATATTGAATCTGATAATATTTTTTTTCCCCTTCTACATGCAGCAGTATATAATAGTTAGATTGAATAATATCTTTATATAACATCTGTTTCCATTGGTAGATAACCGCCAAATACCATACAATTTTCATTGGTAGAGCCTTTTTCAGCATCTCCTCCCTCAAAATATGCTAGCTCAGATTGCAACTATATCCACCCTTCAAAGGCTTAACTTTTCTATGGTTAGCAGCAAAAAATAAACTCTTATAAACCATAAGATATTTTAAGTTGCAACTGAAAAGGTTTCATTTTATTTTCTACAATGAGCACAATAGAGAGAGAAACAAATCACCATTAACACATCAAGAGAATCAAGTTGTCAAGAACAAAGGCAAAGAGTCTAAAGTCATAGAACACTCAACAATCAGCATAAATATGGATACAGATAAAGTGAAAAGAGAATCACTCCATCCTAATACCAAGTGTATAAGCGGAAGAGATAACCAAGTGTGTATCTTACAAGAGGCAATGCTGTTACGTTGGGAGGCACAGCAAAATTTTGAACATCCTTATCAAAGATAGGACAATGAGTCAAAGTAGCATATTCATAGCTGTACAAATTATGAAAGTGTTTTTAAAGTGAACGATATAGAGGAAAACTGCAATAGTGAAAGGGCCAAAACTAGGTCCATGCATATTTTGACTCTTGGTATTGGCACTCTCGTAGTTCATAAACACTTTCAGTGAACTGGACTCAACCTCAGCCCCTCTCGGAAGGAACTTCCTATACATCATTATAACAAATGCAATCATGATAATATCAATCACAAGGTTAAGCAAGGAGAACTTAATATTTAGAATACAAAATATAAAGCAATCGGGCCAATTTTACTTGCAAAGTGCAGTAAGTAAGAAACAATAACAAACATGTCATGAACATAGTGGGGGAGCCCAAAGTTAATGCTGGATATATTTTCAATCTGTTATATGATGAAGTATGATAAATTTCTATCAGACCCATATAAAAACTCTGATAAATGATAATGACAAATTGTGCTATTTGACATGTTCAAAGAGATAAAACATATTTGTCTCTTAAATCACCTTGAGACAACAATAAAGGACACAATGTATGTGCCATAGATTCATGGTCTAAAAGACGCTTGAATGATGAAAATAACTGAATGACTATAGTTTAGCCTATTAAACTGTCACCACATTGAACAATAGTGTTATCTGCTCCTCCTCCTCCTCTTCCTGCTTCTATGGTTATCAAGGATTTCTTAGGAGGAATGATCAGATTTTCACTGAAACACAAAAGGTTTCTTTTAACCCAAGGCACAAGATGAGACCCTGGTGGAAGAAAAGACAGTCATTAGCTTTGAAGCTTTTCATAGCCAAACAAAAATACCTTAAAAAATAATCCCCCGTCTCCCCTGAGAAAACCCCCCTCCCCCCACCAGGAAATTTCACTTGCCCCGATTTCAATGTTCAAAATCTCAAGCATATATAAATAAAATATCATTCTCTTATGGAACATTCATATGACATACAAGCT